TTGTATTTTTCTTCTTTGTCTCCTTGGAACAAGGCACGCGTAGAGCACGAAAGAGTAGTGCCACATTACTACAGTGTGACCAGGTGCATGTTTGTTTGTGAATCGGAGACTGCTATTGGCTTCCACGGACGGGAGAATTGTCGAACGCGATGGCAGCCGCTTCCCAACCAGTGGGTGGTTATAACCACCAGTCAGGATATAATCGTAATAACCGAACCTCGTTGGCCGTTTTCGGATTCATGGCTGCCGTAGCGACTAAATGGGAACAAGTTCCACCGTACTCCACCCTGCTGAGCAGTTACTCGGATCGTTGTCCGCTTCCTGCGACAACGACGAGAGGATTGTTTTCAGGGAGCCACAGATATATTCGTATACAGTTAGATACGAAGTATTAGACTTGTTCTCTTTCAGTCCGTTCTTGACACTCGTCTTGTACTTCTGGGTGTTTTTTATCCTCGGTTAGCGGCTTATGTATTTTTGGTGTTGCCTAGATTCATGAAACCTCCGTGGGTGTTGTAGACCTTGTGGGAAACAGTTGAGGTATCAGCTACCAAACCTGTTTATTTTCCAAATCCAGCGCTCACGTGCTGCCTATGTAAAAACAAGTTATTTGTATTGTCCTAAAAGTCAATTGTCCCAACTGCCATAATATCCTAAGTGATGTAGTACCCTTCCACTTGTATAGTGCGGTCTCCATGATTGTCGTTTGGTTTTGTTTTGCCAGAGAACGTTGAATGGTTTCGACTTAATGCCATTAACTCTGACAGAGCACCTGCTATCATAATACAGTGATAGGATGACCCTTAGCAACTTGCCGTCAATCCCGTATGCACGAAGGCATGTCCACAGTCTGTTGCGAGGGATCCGGTCATACGCTTTCTCTAGGTCCACAAGACGCTTTTACACCGGATCGGCGTACTCCCGCGATTTCTCAACAATCTGGCACAGGGTAAATATGTGGTCAGAGTTGCTTCGACCGGGCCATAAGCCACACTGCTCTTCTTGGATTTTGATGTCAACTATTTCACTGCACCTCCTTTCTAACACCTTTGCGTAAACTTTACCTGGGAGGCTCAATAACGTTATGCCCCTATAATTGGATCATTTCTTGTATACGGGTACAGTAACTCCCGTTCTTCAGTCCGCTGATGTCGTTCCCATAGCAACTGCAGTTTGACAGAAGCCTGTCAGCTAGCACATGCCCTGTTCGCTTAATGCCTTGAGCATTTCAGGGCAGATTTCATCGATTCCATTTTACAAAGTTTTCACAGCTTGTCTAATTTCACTGACAGAAATAGCAATATCTGTTCCCTGCTGCTGTGCAGTCGAGTCTTCCTGTGTTTTTTTCGGGGTTAAAGAGTTCCTGAAAGTATTTTCTCCATCGCCGAAGAATGTTTTTATCCTTGGTAAGAGAGTGTCCAGACCTGCCCTTCAAGTCTCTGAAAAACATAGTTTCGTCCGTATTTAGCAAGGTGTTCCATGCAGTCCGGGGTCCATATTTTGTTTGTTGAGTCAAAATTAAGGAAACAGTTTAACCCAGAACAGAAAAAACTTGTTTGTGTGGGTGAAGGGTTGTTTTAAAAACTGTTATATTAATTATTTCAACAGTGCAGATATAAGTTCATTTTGGACTTCGGTTAAGGATAACTTTTTGAACTATTGTGCCAATATTGAAAGAAAGTTGATAACCACGGTGATGTCACGGTCTCCCCTGAACTTCCGTTGTTCGGCGCCAGATACGGTTCTCTTCGTTCGTGTCATTTATGATGCCATGTAAATCTCCGTTGTCGTGTCAACGATAGCATAGAAACGGTTTCTTAAGATCGAATATTTTGTTCGTGCGTTGGTGATCAGACTGAAAACTTAAAAATGTTTAAAAACGGTTCATTTATTTACAACGCAAAGATGGTCAGTCAGAACATTCGCCGATACCGTTTCGGCCTGTCTTACGGTCGGTAAAACAAAGAAATAGATCGAAGGTGATTCCGCTTTGTCTGTAGCGGAATGAAAGTTCGGAGCTGAAAGAATTAAACTGAAACGTCGGTATTTTTCTGTATTCCAATGGACGAAATTTTGCGTCGTGTGTAAAATCGACAATTTTGGTGCTATTTTCCTCTATGATTACCAACGCGCAAACCAGATACCTCCATAAATACCAAATCCTCCTGTTGCCGCATCATCGATCAGGAATGCGTTGTTGCCTTTCTTTATAAAGGTGTATCTACATGTCAACGAACACAGTTGCATATAGTCCCCTGTTTCCTTTTATCGGCGGCGTATTCATTTATCTATATCGGAAGAATGAAAGGCTCAACCGACTGAGTAGCCATGTTTCCATATTATTCAGTAGTTTGTAAACAGTATTATTGTGAATCTTCTTTAATTTGTGGCAATCAGCCAGTAGATGGAGTTCCATGGTCGAATCGTAGAACTGGTGCATGCCACAACTTTTATATAACTAACTCATTGTTGCATGAGTTGTTTTTTTGTAATAAAATGAAGCTGTGCTTGATAGAGAATACTCACTGGTCTTTACTCCCGAATTGCCTGTTCGAGACGTCGTCCGTCCAGGTAAATTATACTTCTTTTTAAGTGCCCTTGAATCAGGAGCCTTGAGAGTTCTTTAGTTTCGGCGAGAGTGTAGGTGCCTTTTTCTCTTCCTTCGACTTTCTGTTTGTTTAGGGAAAAATCAACAGCACAGCATTTCATCAATTAAGAGATTTCCCAGCAGCAATTCTCTCACCATTAATGCGTTGACTCAAACCGCCAACTTTCACATTTGAAGTTGTTTACCGTAGCTGGTATTTGCTTTCATCGTATAATGAGTCCATCCCTCTGTTGATATGCTTTTCATTCCAAGAGGATTTCGTTACCTGTATGTCGGGGCTTATTGGGAAGTCTCATGCGGAGTTCATTATCCGAGCCAGGGACTTCTGCAGTGATAATGCAAGGAACTTAGACAAATCTGGACGTTGCTTTACCACAGAATCCTGCTGTTCCATAGCAGGATTCTCGATACGTGATGATTCAGTACTGCAACAACTTTACGTTGCTTCTTTTATTTTTACACTACGTCTGAGATGCCTCATTCCCATTCTGTGAGATCTGTCTGTCAGCTGTTGTGTGAAGATTAAAGGCTACAGTGATAGTCACGAATCGCTTACTTTTATCCACTGGTAGCTCGCATTTCTGATTCAACAGAATTGTGGCAACTTATTCAGAATATCACCTGAATGCAACCGGGCGCACTCCACAGTCTTTCTGAAACCTTTCATACTTTATTTCAATACACGTTACGCTATCTCCTTTTTTGGTTATGTTGCGCTCCGTATTAGCGCTTAAGCACTTGTATCGCATTTCGCTGAAACTCGTTGTTTGCCGCAGGTATATCCCTCCCTCTAATGGCTAACAAGTTTTGTTCTTTCAGTATAGCGCTGGATACGACAGAATAGCATATGATATAGTTGTGTTCTGTATAAGCGCACTATAGATTCTAATCTATGTCAACAGTGCTACATCTATATATGTTGAAAATTCTACTCTGTTTACCACTGTAAAGACTGGATTTCGAATGCTTCATAAACAACGCAACGCAAGTATTGATCTGAGTGGTGTCACCGTTCCGGTTTGCATCGTGCTTGTTGTACCTGTTGTATTTTGATTTTGATCTTTTCGTAGCTAAGTCTGTGCTAACGACCGCCGACTTCCGCTGATCTTGATTTTCTCTTCTTACGGCCCAGCCAATCTGCGAAAAGAGCCATAGCAGCAAGGTTCATATCTTAATAAGTCTGTGAGTCCCTCTTAATAATAATTACTGAGATGCCACATAACTGCTCCAACACCAGATTTCATGACGTATCATTCTCTTTGCTCCTTGTTGCATAAATTGCATTTGAGTGGACCGCTGCTTCATGGTGTTTGAGCACCTGTAGTGCCAGATGCATTTCGCATCGCTTTGTCCGCTGGAACCACCTCACGCCTATTTTGAACGGTATTTCAGGAGCTGTTTTAGAAAGCTGATCTTGAAGGAGTTGTGCGCCGTTTGGTGGAAGTGTGCAGTATTTTACTTAACTACTTACCTAAGTACTTAATGATACATCAGTAAGTTTGAGAATATTTGCCTCTTCATACGGTAGCATATAACGAGTACCAGCTCCTGAAACGTCTTCATAATGACCAAGACGTGGTTTTAGTGGACAAAGTGGTGCGAGATACGTTTGACATTGCATATCCACAAATACCGTGGACGGCCTGCTTGACTGTTCCGCTCTAGGTCACTAGGAACAAATGGGCGGTGCAGAACGTCAGGAATCTGGTCTTGAAGGCGATATGCACCATTTAACTTGCTCAGACGTTCGAAAATATTTCTGTGCTCATGAGCAATTATTCGAAGATATTATTTTCGCGGCTGTTCCAATGCTGAATGACGGCAGCTAGATCCTATGTTTATACTTGCCGGAAACCATTGTCGCTTTTGATCAACTTCACCAGTTGTCGTCGTTGGCTCTTGACTTCCGCTGATAGCGCGCGGTACTCAAGAAAGATTTTTTTAGCTCAACGGAAATGATTGACGTAACAGAAGGATGTGATCTGGCTGTCGAAGAAAGCAAGTATCGTCGTTAACCGACTTAGCTCATCCGATAATGTAAGTTAAGTATATGTACAAATTTTTTGGTCGCCGACGTGAAACTCAAGTCTGGCTTCGTCGAATGGCATCTGTCGAAGTTAACCATCTTAATTTTTGGTCCTATTTTGACATGGCATGTTGCATATTAAAATGCAGTAGTGGAGCAGAGAGACAGATCATAGAGCATCTTTTTTTCGACTTTCTGTAATAGCACAGTTAAACAGTGGCGCATGCTTCATGAAACTTCAGAACTCGCTATCTGTTGACTCTTTGAATGAAATCAGCCGCGCTTTGCCGCTGCCAACAGTGCAACAG